CTTGTATCTGGAACTATATAAGACTAGGTTCTACTGGACTTGTTTATCTTGTGTCTGGAACTATATAAGAATAGGATCTATTGAACTTGTTTATCTTGTATCTGGAACTATATAAGACTAGGTTCTACTGGACTTGTTTATCTTGTTTCTGGAACTAAAAGACTAGGTTCTACTGAACTTGTTTATCTTGTATCTGGAACTATATAAGTCTAGGTTCTACAGAACTTGTTTATCTTGTATCTGGAACTATATAAGACTAGGTTCTACTGAACTTGTTTATCTTGTATCTGGAACTATATAAGACTAGGTTCTACTGAACTTTTTTATCTTGTATCTGGAACTATATAAGACTAGGTTCTACTGGACTTGTTTATCTTGTTTCTGGAACTAAAAGACTAGGTTCAACTGAACTTGTTTATCTTGTATCTGGAACTATAAGATTAGATGAAAGGTATTTGACAGAATGAAGAATAATGGACTCTACACACAGCTTCTTGTTTCTTCATCAAAACAAAACAAAATTCTTTTCAGTCAACATTTATTTTAAACAATAGAAACATTCTTCGGAAGAAGCAGAAAAATGCTTTTTTAAACTTAGCAACACTTCCAAAAAGTTATGCTCCTTGATTTTGATAAATCATTTTTCTGTGTTTATTCTTCATTTCTTCCTTCATTTGAAAATAATTTGTCTATATTCAATGTTCCATTACTTAAAGAATTTAAAAATAGTTTGTCCATTTGTTCATTACTCCTTCAATCAGGAAAATTATTTGTCCATAATCAATCCTCCTTTGATTTCAAATAGTTTGTCCATTATTTCTTTCATTTCAAATAATTTGTCAATTATTTCTTTAATTTCAAATAATTTGTCCATTACTTCTTTAATCAAACTAATTTGTCAATTTGTTCTCCAATAGTTTTCAGTTTAAAATATTTTTTTCCATATTCCTTGCTCCATTGCTTTATCAGTTTAAAAAACAATTTGTCCATGTTCAATGCTCCATTACTCCATGAATTTGAAAATGATTTGTCAAAATTCAGTTCTCCGTTAGTCTTTAAATTTAAAAATAAAGGAAATGAGCCTTTGCCACAAATTCTGAATTTCTAATCCCAAAATCTTTGCATCCCAATGTCGGAGACCTTAGCTTTTTCAAACTATGAATGTATACACTAACAGTTTAGAATGAAATACTTATCCATACCAATTTAACAAAAAATATTATGATTATTTTTTAGTCAAGCTTTATATCCATTATTAAGTCTTTTTAATAGTCAAAAAGAGATGTTTAAACTTGATTATTTTATACTATTTGTGATATATTTCTCTTTTAACAGTATTTTTAGAGATTTTTTTAGGAAATACATAAAATAATCAAAGTATTTGACATTAACAAACTTTTATACTTTTATTTGCTTATTTACGACGAAAATTATAATACAAAATGTGAAAACTCTTTAATTGGATTTGATAAACCAGATATATTTCAGATATATTACAAATATAAATATATATGATATATATTCTCAAGCATTCTGGAAATACATACCTAGCAGAATATTATTTTACAGCGCAGAACAGGTCTCAAAGATTTAAGTTTGTGGCAAAAAATTGCCCTATGAATGATGGATGCCAAGAAGTCCTTAATTTGAAAAATAATTTGTCGATATTTATTGCTTCATTATTTTCTCTTATTCTACAAAAATTATTTCCTTTTTTCTCCTTCAATTAGAAAAATAATTAGTTCATGCGGTTGTTGGCCCTTTTAATATGAAAATAGTGTGTTCTTATAATTTTAACTCTAAAGAAATTACTTTGGAGAAAAAGGTTTTTTTTATTATTTACAAAAAAATAACTAAACCGAGGTTTTAGTTTAAATATGTCAGAAGTTTTATTGTTGTAAAAGATTAAAATTTATTTTCCATTTATAAACTGAAAATGATCTAAAGCATTATATTTATTCTATATTTAATATCATGTTTTTGACGTTTTGCTGAATTTTACTAAACGGCAATTTTCTTTAAAAGAGAAATCTGTAAACTTTTTTAATTTGCAGTCTTGATAAATTCATAGTTTTTTAAATATAAGGTTTCAATATGCAAAGTTATTCTACATTAATAAAACTCTTTGCTCATATATGTATAATATATACATACATGGAGTGAGTGCCCTGGGAAAAACATAGGCTAAAGCAAATATCTTTTGTTCAAATGTTTAATGTAGCTAGCAAGTATTTAAAAATATGAGTTTGAGACGAGAACTTTGTTTCTTTTAATCTCTTCCATAATCAGAAGATTAAAATGGAAATGGAATATACAAGAACAGATTTAAAGCTTCAATATTCAAGACATTTAGTTTTATCTCTAGATTATATATTCCAGCTTTGGTTTTGTAGATCTAGAAAAATATAAAAATTTAAATAATATTTTAGGCCCGCAGTGGTTTGCACTTAGGATAATACTCTACAATTAGTATATTTCAAAACTAAGAAAGAATAAAACTAAAAGAAAAGTAACACATTCTATACTCACGTCAAATTAAAGTGCAGGAATTGAGTCTTTGCCACAAACTCTGATTTTTTATCCCTATATTCTTGCAACCTAATGTTGTAGACCTTTTTTACATTATCAGGTAACAATAATATAAGGATTAGAAAATTTGAGTTAATGACAAAGACTCAATTCCTTTTACTTGAGGTTGAAATTTTGCATTTATGCATGCTTTCAATCTTAACTCATCTCATTGAATATATTGAGACTAATAATAATGTTTTTAAATGTAACAAAAACTTTGCTATTCTCCTTCTTGTGTGTAAATCATAACTAGAGGAGCTACGACGTCAGATAGTTTTACCAGTAATGTCGCACAAAGGAATTAAATCTTAGCCACAAACTCAAATGTTATAATCCTTATATCTTTGCAACCTGGTGGTGTAAACCTTTAAGATGTCAAACTTAGAATACTTGATCTGACATAAGAAGTAGTCTGTTTAGTGTTTATACTATACTACTTACAGAATACATGGTTTGAAATATCCAAGTTTTATGGCAGTGATATAAAAAAGTTATGGTTTTATAGTTGTATAAAAAAATCAGTTCCTCTTGCGTTAGATTGAAACATTACATGATTTAAATCTTAACTCATATTTTTGAAAAGATGTTGAGACAAACATTGTTCTGTACTAGAATGTCATCAAATAATGGAAATGAGTCTCTGCCACCAACTCAAACTTCTAAACCATATATCTTTGCAACTTGATGGAGTAAACCTTTGATATTTCAAACTTACATTATTTGCTGTAGTATTATTAGTAGTTTGAAATATTTAAGGTCTACGACATTGCATGGACTGCAAATATGAAGGTATTAGAAAATCAAAGTTTGTCGCAAAGCCTCGGTTTCTTTATACTCTCGTAAAATACGGCGTCACAAACTAGTACCTCCCATGTTTCTGGCAGAACCACTTTAATTTTTATTCTAATTAAAATTCTAACTTTAAATTGTAAAGAAGGTTTTGTATTAAACTTGTAAGCTTTTAAAATATTAAACGGATAAAAATGCGACATTTTCTTTACCGATGAAGTTGACAGGGACATGGTGAAACAATGTGATACAAAACAATGGAACAGAATTGGATAAAAGAAATATTTCACTCAAACGAAGGAAGATATCACAATTTTAAGATATATAACAAATTTTCTTCAGAAATTTTAGAAAATTTAAAATACATAATTTTAATTTGAACTTTTAGGAGAAGCTGTGAAGTTTAGTTTAGATTAAATGTTTAAAGCAAAACATAATTCAATATTAAGTTAAATAAATGCACTTTGCACAATATACATTGAAATAAATTCTACATTTCTTGATTTTTGGTTTTAACCATCGATGTTATTGAGCTAGACCGTGGTTCAACTATCGATATTATAGTACTAGATTGTGTCCCAAACATATTTATTAAATAACTAGATTGCGTCCCAACAATTTATATTATAGAACTAGATTGTGTCCCAATCATCTATATTAGAGAACTAGATTGTGTCCCAAACATATTTATTAAATAACAAGATTGCGTCCCAACAATTTATATTATAGAACTAGATTGTGTCCCAATCATCTATATTAGAGAACTAGATTGTGTCCCAACCATATTTATTAAATAACTAGATTGCGTCCCAACAATTTATATTAAAGAACTATAGATTGTGTCTCAACCATCTATATTATAGAATTAGATTGTGTCCCAGCCATCTATATTATAGAACTAGACTGCAGTGTCCCAGCAATATATATTATGGAACTAAATTGTGTCCCAACCATTGATAATATAAAACTATAGATTGTGTCCCAACCATCTATCTTACAGTACTAGATTGTGTCTATTTTATAGAATTGAAGTATGTCCCATCCTACAATTTTAATCAATAAGAAGAATGTGTCCTAAGAAAATACAATATCCCAATTATATCGATAATATATAATCAATCATATTGTGTTCCAAATATCAATAATAAAGACCTGAATCCAATAAATAAAACACTCCAAGACTCCAAGAGTCTATTTCTCGATCCAATAATCTATAAGAAGCTAATTTGTCCACTGACAAGAAGCATCCCCCCCCCCCCTTTCCCGCTTGGGATTCTGGTACCCCCCCCCCCTCTCAAGTATTCCCCCTGGGGGGGGGGGTTGTAAATGTGTCTAGAATGGGGGAAATTAGAAACTAATCACAAGATTGGAAAGATCCAGAATATCCGAAACAATTTAAAGGGACTGTATTCGTATTGTTAGACGACCTTTCATTAAAATAGTAGCACGCTCGATTCACAACGGTAACCTTCAAAACTTAATCTAATCAATATGTAAAAGATAACACTATTTTCTGAATGTAAAAAAGTGTTTAATTCTTATAAATTCTTCATTGTTTTTGAAGCAAGAAATGCGCAAATTCTTACTTGATAAGATAAAGCATTTAAGGATACTATTGTGAATAGGACATGCTAGGGTACCGTTGTGAATAGGAAATGCAACTCTATCAATGGAGCGCATTACGATTACAGGCCCTCTAAGTACAATACTTTTGTAAGTACATGAAAAAAAAGAAAAACTACAAATTATAAGAAAAGTTTTAAATAGTCTCATTTTTTAGGAACCTTGTAAACGACAATTTAGAATGGAGTTTCTCTGCAGGTAACAATTTTATGAATACTTGCTTGGGAACCCGGCTATACCTGGAAATCTAAAGTTTTTGTTCACAACTTAATATATTTAAAACAGGATCAGAATATTCCTGTGGTCTCAAGTCACTCAATGGTTTCATTAGGAATCAGACTACTTATAGAAATATACAAATATATATATATATAAATATATACCATGCACAACCGGTGTACATTTGAATCCGAGCTGGGCCAACGTTTGCGGTCCTTATTTGGACTGTCCCGCCTGGACGGCTAGCTGAGGCCGTTCCTTCCATAAACTACATTGGTCGACAACTTGACGTCTCCTATTTTGGTCGTGAAATGTACGGAGAAATATCTATCTATCAGATAAGAATTTAGCACGAGACATCTAGCGGCCAACATATCGTCCCCCAAAGTAAGTGAAATACACGACCACTTTCTATGGAGAGAATGGGCTCTGGTGCAACTATAGTTGACGCTGCCCAAGGTACTAATGCAAGGAAAGTTATTTCAGAAGTGTATACATTTTTTGTACTGCAGTGTATTGTCTTTGGACGGAAAAGTAAACACAAGACGGATGTCACAGCCTGACATAGAATCCATTTTCACAAAAATAATCTATGAAATATTCTGGTTATAGAAAACTATTATGTGAATTTTCATAATTATCAAAATTAAATTCGTTTAACCGTTTCGGATACTAAACGAACACTGATGCATCTATCCTTGTTCACAAATTCCGCCCAGAGAGAACTGATTTCAATATGTACACAGAATATACGCGACTGCAATTAACTTTCCTTGCATAAGTACCTGACACTGCTTCTTGGTTCAATTTACATTCACCAAAGCGGCAAGGCAGCGTTACGTGATACGTACATATAAATATAATCATCATTATATGCTAAAATCATAGTTTTCTTATTTTATTTTTAGAGATTATTTTTCCTATTTGTTTCTTTTCTTGTTGTTCACCATATATTTTCCTGTTGGTTAGCTCCAATTCTTCCTCTCCATTAATGTTTACGTAACCTCAGATATTATATCCTTTCAGAGTCTTAGCGAGCATTGGAGATACAGGGTTACCCGCATTTAAACCCACGATCTCAAGTTTCCATTTAAAATTTCGTATCCAGTAAAATTTGGTAAATGCTGAAAAAGATATGATAAATTAAAAATTATGTATGTATGTACATCTGCAGCGAGTCACGAGTTTTAGAAAAATTGTAAAATTGTCTCAAAAACTCTTCTTTTATGGGTAATCCTGTGTTTCGCGATCAACTCTGGCCGCTAATAGTCAATAAAAACCAAGGATAAACCCTTAGATATCGAACCTAGACATTTTGTAGCTCAGGTTGATCGTAACGTCCTACAACTTCATAAATCCCTTGACATCTCTTACATCTCTCTGTCTCAGAATAAATCAATGCTCTGTAGATTGACATGATTAGAACTTTATTTTAATTATATGAACGTAAAATATACAGTAAACAATCTAAAACTTTGATATTTGCTTAAAGCTTTCAATATAAGAGATATTCACTATGACGACGAAAATTCAAAAGTCTTGACCTTATATTAATCCTTCAAAAGTTATAGTCTCTAGAACTCAAATTACAGATTCACAATCATGTTTTAACATCGAGGAATTGGACAAGGATTTTAATCAGTAAATATATCTAAAAGGTTTCAACTCGTCTTTGTGGAAAAGTATAAATCAATTCTTTTTTATCCAATGATTATGAATATATATGAAAAATGTACCTCAAAGTGCCTTAGCTATGAAAATAACACAGGTTTTACTATCGATAATTATCAATTTTAACTGACGAGAATTTTACTGAAACAACATGGCGTCTAAGTAACGTACATTTACAACTGGTTTAAGTGTTTAGAGAATACGATTCCCAGCTCTCCCCTCAACAGGGGCTCCACAGTACTACTTTGCAAAAAATCTAATATTTCAAACTCTGTGAGATCAGATATCATGAGTTTAAAATATCAAAGGTTGACTCCATTAGGTTGAAAAAATATAGGGATTAGCAATTTTGAGTTTGTGGCAAAATCTCAATTCCTTTGTAAAATCTTAAATCTCATCTTTTGTTGGTAACCCTGTACATCATATATATATATACATATAGAGTTATATTATAGAAGGAAACCAATGATGCTAAGTTTATGGTAAAGCCAGGCTAGGCTGCCTGAATTGAACCATCATGATTCCAACTACAATATGTTGATATAAACGAAAATATTATTCTAACCTCAACCCATTTCTTTAGAAAATTTGTCTAAATCTTGTATTCAAGGAGGAACTATGAGGAGTAAAGTTCAACAATATTCTTATTTAAATATTTTAAACTTTATATATTTACATCATCTTGCTCTTAAAGTATGGAAAATATTAATATTTATTTGAAATACATGATGTTTGGTGATAAATTAAAAAGGAATTGAGTTTTTGCCACACACTCTGATCCCTATAAAACAAACTGTCATTAACTGGGAAAATTCTGAGAAACATGATTCAAGTCTTTTGCAATTATTACAAATAATTTAGTTTAACATAAGGGCCTAAATTCAGAAAATGTCATTTTTATGCCAATATTTATATTACAATACTTATAACTTACCAATATGTAGGGCAGTAAAATACTTTCGCGATAAAATTAACAGTTTCATAAAAGTTGATTTTGTTGTGCAACTGAACTCCTTTGTTTATCATTTTCTATATTAGTATTATATATAGTATATACTATATAGTAAATACACAATGCTACTCCTAGAAACCTAACTATACAGTTTACTACACTTCATATTATTACCATGGTAATATATGTACCAGCACAGGGGTAATATATCATTACCATGGTAATATACCAGCACTGGGGTAATATATCAGCACTGGAATAATATATCATTACCATGGTAATATACCAGCACTGGGGTTATATATCAGCACTGGGATAATATATCATTACCATGGTAATATACCAGCACTGGGGTAATATATCAGCACTGGGATAATATATCATTACCATGGTAATATACCAGCACTGGGGTAATATATCATTACCATGGTAATATACCAGCACAGGGTTAATATATCATTAACATGGTAATATACCAGCACTGGGGTAATATATCAGCACAGGGTTAATATATCGTTACCATGGTAATATACCAGCACTGGGGTAATATATCATTACCATGGTAATATACCAGCACAGGGTTAATATATCATTACCATGGTAATATACCAGCACAGTAGTAATATATCATTACCATGGTAATATACCAGCACAGGGTTAATATATCATTAACATGGTAATATACCAGCACTGGGGTAATATATCATTACCATGGTAATATACCAGCACTGGGGTAATATATCATTACCATGGTAATATACCAGCACTGGGGTAATATATCATTACCATGGTAATATACCAGCACAGGGTTAATATATCATTACCATGGTAATATACCAGCACAGTAGAAATATATCATTACCATGGTAATATACCAGCACAGTATTAATATATCATTACCATGGTAATATACCAGCACAGTAGAAATATATCATTACCATGGTAATATACCAGCACAGTAGTAATATATCATTACCATGGTAATATACCATCACAGTGGTAATATATCATTACCATGGTAATATACCATCACAGTGGTAATATACCAGCACAGTGGAAATACTACAGTTGCTCATATGGTTGGTGCAACCATATGAGCAACGTGTACTAAATATTATATATTGTACTGCAGGTGTACCAACCACATGAACTACGTGTTGTAAACCTTATATATTGTACTACAGGTGTACCAACCACATGAACTACGTGTTGTAAACCTTGCATATTGTATTGTAGGTGTACTAACCATATGAACAACGTGTACTAAATCTTATATATTGTACTGCACGTGTGCCAACCATATGAACTACGTGTACTGAACCTTATAGATTGTACTGTAGGTGTACTAACCATATGAACAACTTGCACTGCACTGCACTATTGTACTGTAGGTGTACTAACCATATGAACTACGTGTACTGAACCTTATGTATTGTACTGTAGGTGTACCAACCAGATGAACTACGTGTACTGAACCTTATATATTGTACTGTAGGTGTACCAACCAGATGAACTGCGTCAGCCCCGGATTGTACTACAATGCCTTTTGCCAGGTGGAGGTCATGGGGGTCATCTGGGTTCAACCTGAGATAATAGAGTAAGTATTTATGGTTTGAGATTACGTCAAATTAAAGTTAATTTTTTGTTAATTTAAATCTTACATGTTTTCAACCAAAGCTTCTCTTACTGAAGGGGTTTTGAGAAGTAGAAAAAAATTTTGCAGAAAGGAATTGAGTTTTTGCCACAAACTCTGATTTGATTATCCCTATATCTTTGTAACAGAATGTTGTAGATCTTGAATATTTAAACTATGAATTCTGTTATATCAGATTATCTAAGTTTGAAATATCATCCGGCCGCAAATATATAGTGATTAGAAGATCAGAGTTTGTGGCAAAGACTCAATTCCTTTGCATTGAGTTTGAGACCCCGTCGGGGCCTTAAAACCCCCGGAGGGGGGCTGAGCCTCCATAGCCCCCCCCCCTGAATACGCCCCTGATATTCAGTTTTCCATGATTAGTAGACATTACTTGCCCATCACATTTATCGTGATCTAATTTAGCCTTTCATTAATTCTGCTGAAGAATGCATGCAGGCTCGGGAGAGGGGGGGAGTCAGAACAATTGTTTAACTAATAATAGAAAACTACATTTATTGATTGCCTTTAGAATTAGTTTGTGACTAGTGATGTGCCTTCAGTTTAGTTTGTGACTAGTGATGTGCCTTCAGTTTAGTTTGTGACTAGTGATGTGCCTTCAGTTTAGTTTGTGACTAGTGATGTGCCTACAGTTTAGTTTGTGACTAGTAATGTGCCTTCAGTTTAGTTTGTGACTAGTAATGTGCCTTCAGTTTAGTTTGTGACTTGTGATGTGCCTTCAGTTTAGTTTATGACTAGTAATGTGCCTTCAGTTTAGTTTGTGACTAGTGATGTGCCTTCAGTTTAGCTTGTGACTAGTGATGTGCCTACAGTTTAGTTTGTGACTAGTGATGTGCCTTCAGTTTAGTTTGTGACTAGTAATGTGCCTTCAGTTTAGTTTGCGACTACTGATGTGCCTTTAGTTTAGTTTGTGACTAGTGATGTGCCTTCAGTTTAGTTTGAGACTAGTGATGTGCCTACAGTTTAGTTTGTGCCCAGTGATGTGCCTTCAGTTTAGTTTGTAACTAGTGATGTGCCTTCAGTTTAGTTTGTGACTAGTGATGTGCCTTCAGTTTAGCTTGTGACTAGTGATGTGCCTTCAGTTTAGTTTGTCACTAGTCATGTGCCTTCAGTTTAGTTTGTGACTAGTAATGTGCCTTCAGTTTAGCTTGTGACTAGTGATGTGCCTTCAGTTTAGTTTGTCACTAGTCATGTGCCTTCAGTTTAGTTTGTGACTAATGATGTGCCTACAGTTTAGTTTGTGACTAGTGATGTGCCTTCAGTTTAGTTTGTGACTAGTGATGTGCCTTCAGTTTAGTTTGTGCCTAGTGATGTGCCTTCAGTTTAGTTTGTTATAACGATTTTTTTGGATTGTTTTTCATTTTATCAGATTAAAGATATTGATAAAAGCAAGTTTTATTATTTAAAAAAAAAAATTAACAACACTTTTTGGGACAACATTAATTTTTAATTATCATCATGACTTGTAACATAATAATAATTGTACATAATAACCTTGTAACACACAATCTCAGCTTTATATAGAACATTATAAAAATAAAGAAAGAAAATAAAAAGAAACCTCAATTTATTGAAATAAGAAGACAGCTTATCCAAGCGTAACGCTCAAAGATGGGTTTGAGGGCCAGAATGTTTCTAATGGAGTTTATGAACATTTTGTAAACTTTTATTTTGTTACAAATTGAACAGTTCAAAGAAAAATTCATATGAAATCAAGGAAAAATATCGGATCAGATTTACTTTCAGGGACATTTTTTATGTGGTATAATTGACTTAAAGTGACTGTAAATGTGAAGTGACCTTCCATCAATAAAGTGGAATGTCCGATTCACACCGGTACACTTAAAAGCTGATCTAGTAGGCATTATATCCATGTTTTAACTTGTGTAGTAACCTTACTTATTTTATACTTATAGTCATGTTTCTCTTTCTGAAAACGGATTTGTTTCAATTGTCAGAATTAATTGAGAGAGAATTCTTCTTTACTTATTTTCTCTCTAAGAGTCCCAGGCCAGGAACTAAAGTTAAAGGGAGAGACCGGCTAGACATGGTAGTTGAGCTGAAAGTACAGTATTGTAGATAAAAACTTTCCCTTTAAAGGGAGCTTTTCAGAATTATAAAATCTGATATTAAATATATATACAAATATACAAACAGAAGTGACCTTTTTTAATTGAAAGGAAGTCTGTAATTTTTATTTTGGTTAGGTTAGGTTAGGTTAGGTCAGGTTATGTTATAGAAAGTGAGACCTTTTAAACTCTGGAATAGGAAGCTTGTCTGTGTAAGCTATACAATTGTGGTTTTATGTTCATTTGATTATTTAAAATCTTAATTTTTTTTGGTAAAGGTTCAAAAATTATAAAATGAAAAATTCTGTGAAAGTTCCCTTTAAGGATTCATAACTCTCTATGATACCATTATTCTTCTTGTTCCCTTGTGTGACAAAAACATATATCTGTTCTTGTTAGAGTCAGGAACATTATATAGATTAAAGGGGCTGTTCACTTATTTCAAAATAGATTAAAGGGATTTTTTCCTTATTTTGAAATAGACATAATACAATAATTTTGGAATTTAGAATCCCAACCAACTTTTGAGAATGGTAAACAATCCCTTCAAGGAACACCAGGAACATTATATAGATTCTGGAACACAAATCGCACATTCGCGTTCCCTTGCCGTAAAGTATGGGGAGAAATTAGACGGAGGGAATAAAAGAGAGGAAAAAGATAAAATTAAGTTAGAAAAGAAGGAATTAAAAGGAAGGGAAAGAAAGAAAGAAAGAACTCGTTTTTGTGTAGGGAATAAGAAATTTAAATATGTTTTAAACAATCCTAATTTTCTAATATCCTGATATATTGATATCCAGATATCCTAATATCCAGATATCCTGATATCCTGATATTCAGATATCCTGATATCCTGATATCATGATATCCTGATATAATGATATCCTGATATCCTGATATTCTGATATTCTGATATTCTGATATTCTGATATCCTGATATCCTGATATCCTGATATCCTGATATCCTGATATTCTGATATAATGATATCCTGATATCCTGATATCCTGATATCCTGATATCCTAATGTCCTGATATCCTGATATTATGATATCCCGATATCATGATATCCTGATATCATGATATCCTGATATAATGATATCCTGATATCCTGATATAATGATATCCTGATATCCTGATATTCTGATATTCTGATATTCTGATATAATGATATCCTGATATCCTGATATCCTGATATCCAGATAAACAATATGTAAAGTTTATGCAGAACAAACAATGGGTTTATCCAACTTTCTCTGCATAAACCGTAAACACAAAACAAACAGCTTTTGGAAGTTATTTTTAGCAGTTAAGCTTAGTACCTTTACCACCCCCGGCAGCTCACTTTCCGACAAAATATATTTAAATCACATAACTATGTTCTATCCAGCCAACCATCTCTTCTTAAGTATTCCCATTATTCCTCAACTCATACTCCAATATCCAGGAGTAATCCATTCTAATGCATCCCGTATCTACCCTCCTTAAACCTCAACTTCTGTCCTCTCTTCACTCCCCAAATTATCTCCTGTTCATTCCCCAGATTACCTTTTATTCGCAACCCAAATTATTTCCTATCTCTACTCCTTCCTTCGCTCCCCAGATTATCTCTTATCTCTACTCCTCCCTCTACTCCCTAGACTATCTCCTATCTCTACTCCTCCCTCTACTCCCTAGACTCTCTCCTATCTCTACTCCTCCCTCCACTCCCCAGATTATCTCTACTCCCCCTCCACTCCTCCCTCCACTCACCAGATTATCTCCTATCTCTACTTCCCCTCCACTCCTCCCTCCACTTACCAGATTATTTCCTATCTCTACTCCTCCCTCAACTCCCCAGATTATCTCCTATCTCTGCTCCTCTCTCCACTCCCCAAATTATCTCCTATCTCTACTCCTCTCTCCACTCCCCAAATTATCTCCTATATCTACTCCTCCCTCCACTCCCCAGATTTTCTCCTATCACCCCCTCTCCATGCAATCCCAGATTATCTCCTATCTCAACTTCTTCCTCCACTCCCCATATTTTTCTCCTAATACCCCTCCATACACGCAATCTCCAGATTATCTCTACTCCTCCTCCTACTCCCCTAAACAAAGCTCATCCTTCAAAATGTATTTTATCTTCTGGTGTTAAACTAGGGAACTTATTACTTTATTCCCTCCTATCTGTCAGCTTCTATACTTGCATCCCTAGGGAGAGAAATATCTTAACCTTATCCTTATCTGATCCAGTCTTTATCACTTTATCCCGACATATTCTTAGATCATCTTTATTCTGCATCTTATTTGATCCCATCCAAACTTATTTTGCAATACTTTAACCTATCCCATCCTAATTTTAACATAATCTCGTCCTATTCTTACTTTTTATGAGGTTAAAACGTTTGTATCTTAAAATTGTGGCTCCATCGCTCAGTCTCTATCCCCATTAATGGTTAAACATGAAAAACTGATTTCTTTTTTGACTAATTTCTTAATTGTCTGCTAGTGGATTTTTAATTTATCCAGGAAACAGCGGATTTCTTGTATATCCACGGAATCGCGGATTTTATGTGAAACATATCCATTAACGTATATAAAGGGTTACCCACATAGGACAAGACTTCAGAGACGACAGTGCGGAATTTATTTGGTATTTCTTCTTTTATTTCTGGTTCACAACAGGTGTAAGCTAATTTCTTATATATTTTGTTATTTAGAAACTATAACGAAGGCAGAAGGCCAAGTTCAGCCTTCCGATCCTTGAATTTAAAGAGTAGCAGGTCGGCATTAAAGTCTCTTCTTTTTTGGATAACCCTGCTTTACGCTCAGCTTCGGGGGCCTTTTCTCATTTGAAGTTATCTAATAACAATAAAAATTCCATTCTAAAG